CCAAACATCCGAAATGGCTTTGGATCCCTTCATAAAAAATTTAGGCCTCTTCCTATCTTTCCAACAAACTAAGAATCACTTAGAATAGATGTCTACGACTCTTGACATAGCTAAAAGCCTAAAACAAGCATCAAATCATCCATCTAGATCCAAATTAAACTTTCATACTTCAAAACCTATCCACATCATAAAATAAGATACAAGTAACTATATTAGGCGTATAAACTTAATAAAAGGCTACATGTAGAAAAAATTAAATATATAAATATGACACTCATCATGAGTCAATCATGATTGTTGAAGAAAGCTTCGAAGTAGATGATACCATGTGGAAAATGTATTATGATGGGACCGTTGATGTGTTTGAAAATGGTATCAAGTCGATTTTGATTTCACAAACTATAGGCACTTCCCTACGATAATCTAGTACAATTTGATTGCACTAATAACATAGTCGAATATGAGGCATGTGTACATAAACTAGAAGCAACTTTAGAAAGGAGGACCTAGAAACTAGATATATATGGTGACTCCCTATTAATTATATGTCAAGTGAAGGGAGAATGATAAATGAAAGATGAAAAATTGAAGTCGTATAAAAAAGACCCGATAAGGCTAGCCACTTAGTTAAACAAAACAAAAAATAGAGTTCACTCATCTAGGAATAGAAAATAATCATTTTCCCGATTCTTTGGCTACACCGGCTATGATGACCAAGATTGAATGTAGTGTGAAAATTTAGCCGTATGTATTAAAACCAGGAATGCTCTTGCATTCTCCTATTGTCTAATTGAGAATGAGTCTCATTGGCGGCCCTATATCACAACATTAAACAATTTGTAAAAAGTCTAGATTACCCAATAGATGGCTTAAAAATAGATAAGAAAACACTTTAAAGACTCGGCCATGGATTTTTATCTTGATGGCAATGTTTTGTATAAAAAAAAAAGGCTCGATGGAACATTACCGAGATGTGTAAATTTTAGCAAGGCAAGGAAGATAATGAGAGAAATACGTGAAGGAATTTGTGCTACTCATGCTAGTGTCCTCTTGATGGCACAATAGATTTAAAGAAGTGGCCGCTTCTAGACCACTCTCGAAAGAGATTGCATTGACTATATGCACGGATGTCATAAGTGATAAGTCTATGCCAATAAGATAAATATACCTTTGACACCCTTCTACAATATGGTGTGGCCCTAAGCATTTGCAATGCAAGGAATGGATTTAATCAGCCTAATAACTTCAAAGGCCAACAAAATGCATTGTTTTATCCTAGTTGTAATTGATTACTACACGAAATGGATGGAAACAACTTTTTTTGTGCACATCACTTATAAAGTGGTCAGTCGGTTCACAAAAAAAAAAAAAAACATCATCTCGCTGGTATAGATCTTTAGAGATCCCGATAAATGATAATACCTAAAACTTTAATGGCAATGTGATAACACAATTGTGCTAGTGTTGGAAAATCAAGCATCGATAATCTTTGAGTTATAGAAATTTAAAGTCTATAGCATTTTAAGCTATTTGAACTCTAAAATATTATTTTTTAGGTAAATATATTTTTTTTCATTATTTTTAATGATCAAAACATCGATCGTTAACTAGAATATGATTTAATAGCAAAATTTATCTCCAAACTATCGAGGTTGTGGAAAAATAAAATGTATACTATTAATTTGGACTATTTGAACCCCAAACTATTAATTTCTTAGCAAATGTTATCCTTCTTTTTTTATTTTGACATTCAAAGTGTTGATCATTAACCGAAATGCTTAAAATAATGTTGTCTTAAGCATTTTAGATTTTTCCAATCCCACGACTCGATCCTTTGTTTATATATATATATATATATATCAATCGGATCATATTACTCTTATTATTTAAAATTTATTCTTTAAATTTATCATTTTGAATTTTAGAATAAAGTTTTAAAATACCAAAGAGCTTGTAGCTCAATGGTAATGGTCTCTTGCAACAAGAGGTCAAGGGTTCAAATCCTAATAGACTAATTATGCTAGGATCTTTGAGTGTGTAAGTAAACAAAAAAAAAAAATTAAATATGATTTATTTAAAATAAATTAATATAACATGTATCATAAATTCTTAAAATTTTTAAATTATAGTTGCATATATATATCTAAAAAAATTAAAAGTTTATTTCATATAATTTGTCTTAGTCAACTAAGTATGGGCAATAGATATAAAAAAAATTGTTGAATCATCGATTTTATTAAGATTAACCATACATCTTCACACATAACACTAACTATTTGCTATGAATATTTTTTTTAACGTTATAAAACCAATTTATTTAAAATAAAATGATTAAAATAATTTTTTTAAAAAATAACCAATTATTTAAATACAGACTTTTTACGATAACATTACCGATTATTTTATAAATAAATATATATAGATCAAATACATATATTTTTAAAAATTAATATTCTTATCAACATTGAATAAAAATAAATTTTTTTCTTATTATTTAATTGTTATACAAGTCTATACATTAATTGTAACTTTACGTTTTGAATATATTTTTATATAAAATATATATTTTTAAAGTATTTTTTAAAATTCTTGATAAATATTCTGCTTTAAATTATTACAATTCTTATTTAAAAATCAATATATAAAAAAAATTCATTTTTTTAAGTAAACAATGTATGAAAAATATAAAAAAAATGATATATATATATAATGATTTTATTTTGACTGATCTACAGCGTAACTAGGATAAATAGCTAATACAAACTAATCCTAACAAAAATTGAGCAGTTCATATCTGAAGTGTGCAGATAATACGGCAGCCAACCAAAAGTCAAAATCGTCATAATCAGGAATGTTACTTTGCATTTGATCGATAACAATAATAAACAAAACAAGCCATTACAATTCCTTTGTTTCAAGCATAAAAAGAGGGAGAATGGCTTTAAAAACGAGAAAGGGGTCACTGCTTTCCTACTTTTGGGGTAATCCCCTTGAAATTTCTCCAAATACCATTTGTGATTGGCAAATGCCCTAGGCACCAAGTTAGCACATGTAAGGGTTAAAGAAAAAACGCAAACCCAACCCCAGACCAAGTCATCACAGTCCATCCAAGCCGCTCCACAATCTCTCTACAGTACAGTACCACGACTTAATTCCATCATCCAATTTTCTAAACGATGAGAATGAAGATAATGAAGCCCAGTTACTTGGGATTTACAAAGATAATTAAAAAATAAAAAATAAAAATCAAGTCAAAGGTTATAGGATTTAGACGAATAAAAATATTAATTTAAGGTTTTTTAGTATAGTAACATAAGGGTTTTTGAGTATAGTAAAAACGAAAAGAAGAATTAAAGCTGAAATGAGTTAGACATTGTTTGTGAGACAACAAAAGAACGAAAAATAGAAAAGAAAAAGGAAGAAAGGGTTAGCTTGCTGGCTTTGATCCAGACAGCTAAGAGAGAGAATTTGTGTTATTATATCTAGATTTTTCTTTTCTTTTCCTTTTTAGAGAAATAGAATGCTGATTAATAAATAAAAATAGAGGCACATTAGAAAAATCCAAAGAATAAAAAAAAAACACATTTATTGCAGTTAATCCATTTTTTCATCCTATTTATTTATTTAATTTTTTGAACTAAAAAACTACTCTAATAAAAAATATTCATTCATGCACAAGGAATAAGATTTGTCTATCATTTAATATGAATAAAATACATTTGTTAAATTATTTTCAGTTAAACACTACCCTTATTTGTCACTACATCTGTTAGGCACAACAATAGTATTTAACCAAACTTTGACTGTTTTAAACCTTTGTAAGCACTCTAAACTGAATAGTTACCAAACCCTGTTTTTACCCCCACAACACATCACAATAACCACAACACGGCAAATACCAAACATGCATGCCCGTAATCCCTTGCTCAAGGGATCCCTACCTGAAAAGTAAGAAACAGAAGCTTGATTTTACCAACCACTTTTACGTGTCCTGTCGAAAGTTAAAATCAGTGTTGTGTTATGATTTCCTGCGAGGCCAAACAGTCCCCGGATTTCACAACATTTATTGGATATAACTGTAAATACAACCATACAATGCCGACACCAAGGAGATATTATATTCATTTATTCACTATATTCAAAACGATACCTGAATAAGATTACCAAGTTGGTGACACATCATGAGAGAAAATAAGCCAAGGCGGCCCCACTGATAAAGAAATATGAGGAAAAGAGGATAGCAAACACAATCAAAAGCTCCAAAAGGCAGGATACAAATTTGAAGGGGGACTAAATTCAGCTTACGCAATCTTTATATACATTGTCTGTTCCCGTTTCAATGCACACTGGATGCGTAAAAGGAGTAAGCAGAAACTCCATAATACAACATGGCCAATCTATAAATAATCTCTTCGTCCTGGAACACGATACCTGCAACAATCAACCAAGAAAATCAACTGTACAGTAATCACCAACACCGCTGCCATATTCAACTGCATTCAAGTGTTAATTTGTTCAAAGAAATAACTCCAACATATGGTTTAACGCTTTGGACTCGGTGCATCCAACTTGAAATCTATTTTTTCTCAATGGTTCAGTATCAACTACTAGCTAGTGCATTAATGTCTGCAAAGAAAAGATCAAATCACAGTTTATAAAGAACAAAAAGTAAAACCTGCTCAAAGGGCCTGCATACAAGTGTTAATTTGTTCAAAGAAATAACTCCAACATATGGTTTAACGCTTTGGACTCGGTGCATCCAACTTGAAATCTATTTTTTCTCAATGGTTCAGTATCAACTACTAGCTAGTGCATTAATGTCTGCAAAGAAAAGATCAAATCACAGTTTATAAAGAACAAAAAGTAAAACCTGCTCAAAGGGCCTGCATACAAGTGTTAATTTGTTCAAAGAAATAACTCCAACATATGGTTTAACGCTTGGACTCGGTGCATCCTACTTGAAATCTATTTTTTCTCAATGGTTCAGTATCAACTACTAGCTAGTGCATTAATGTCTGCAAAGAAAAGATCAAATCATAGTTTATAAAGAACAAAAGTAAAACCTGCTCAAAGGGCCATCTCAGCCTGTAAGTCAGCAAGTTCTTCTTCCTCAGCTGTGCGTTTTGAGGAACTGGTTTCTTGCCTGCTGGGACCTGCACTGGAGCTGCTGGAGCTGTTGTTGCTGGCTGAAGAAGCTGTTCTTCCAATTCAGCTCCTTCCAGTTCTTCAAGTTCTGCCTCTAATTCATCCTGAAAAAGACCAGCTATTTTAGATGCTCCAACAGATGAAAACTTATGCGCAATCTGGAGAGCTATGTTCTTATAACAGGGTTTAGAATTGAAAGAATTAAAATCTGCATTTTAAAACACTAACTTCATCGAAATCAGCTGCAGCACCAATGGGGGCTGATAATGCTTCTTGAATCTGTTTCATGTTCTCCGTCTGCTCATTGATCTCATCCATCGTCTTGTCCACATCATCAATATTCCTATAATCCATTTCACATATATTGATCACATGTATCATACAACTTCATTATTCAGATATTACAACTGCAAATAGACTTGGATGGCATCACCAAGTTGAAGCCAAATAAAGATTGTGTTTCCAAGTTAACAATAGTTTGAAAAGGAATGCTTAAATGGGACAAGAGAATGAGAATCACAAATGTTTTCAAGGTCAAACAAGCTTTATAAAATTATGATTTGGGCACGGTAACCAGGAAAGTATAATATTATTGCAACCAGAGACAATAAGTAAACCATGAGAATGAAGATTTCACAAATATGTTGATGGATAAAATTGGCACATACGTTGCTTTCTGCATTGCCTTCATAGCAGATGCACCAGTTCTTAATGCATCTACGGTTTCAGTAGTAGCTTTTGCACCTTCTAGCATTATCATCTGCAATATTGACATAAAAAGCACAAGATTTAAGGTTCTATCCATTCAGCAAAAACCTAGACAGATTTATTAAAGATGCAATCGAACCAAAAGAAATAGTAAAAATACTAGCTCACCTGATCATGAATGCGCAACTGAAAGTTTCCAAGCTGTTCTATTTGCTGCTCATACAACCTCTTCCTCTTCAAACATTGGATTGCAGCTGAAAAAAGCATTGTCAATCAGTGGTTTACTGGCAAACAACCCAAATCCAGTAAAAATGCTGCACCAGAATTTGTTTTAAGATACATATTGATGCAGGACAGCTTAGGGACTGTTCTGGATCTGATTTTTGGAGGCTGTTTGGGAGAGTTTACAGTTGTATTGAAGTGGGTTTCTGCTATGTGGCCAGAATTCTAGGAGTCACACTTAGAGGATAGAAAAACCAAAGCTTCACACCTAGGGTTCTTAGGAGTCACACCTCAGGTTAATTGAGTCACACAATCAAAAGCATATTGCTGAAAATTATTTGATATTATGGCATTCTAAATATTGAAAGACTACATAGTGTATTTATAGAGTTGTAAAAGTCCAAATTCAATTAGGACAAAGACTCCTAAACCTCCAACATAACTATTACTAATTAGACTAGAAAAACCTATAACTATTCCTATTTTAGAATAGAAAAACACATAACTATTCCTATTTTAGAATAGGAAAACCTACTAATAAAGCTAATTACCCCTTAGGACTAATAAAATACCAAATAAATAATAAAACCTAGACTTAGACAAATTTCCAGATTTTCAAAAATTACAGAAATACCCTTGTCTACAAAAAACACAAGTTTTGCTTCCTTTGCCGTCCGCATCACATATTCATGTAATAAATATCTGTAAGAGAAAACCATTGCCCATGGTTCTTCTCTTGATTACAGTATCAAGATGATACTCCACATCCATAGACAGATTCAACATACGACAATGCCAAAACACAGAACCACTTCAAAGTCTAATATTGCTCAGTAGAGGTGTGGTTTCAATAAATGAGTTCTCCATGAAATCACTGTCTAAGTGTTACAATTAAAAAGAACTCTTAATGACCAGCAAGAATATCAGGAAAAACATCAGGATTGATGAAGATATGAAATCAAGACACCACAACTGGAGTTCGATAACTGAAAGTCACTTGATGTTCCATGCAGAAACAAAGAGGGGGCATTGACAGATAGATAATGCAGATGGAAGAATATTTAGCAATAAAAAAAGGTGAAGCTACAGAACAGTAAGATAGATCTGTCAACTTTCTGCAGTCTATTAAGTACACGTAAAAGGGAAATGGATAACAAAACTGAAACTAAAAGGAAGTCTACGGCGTTATAAACCAAGTGAAAACATCAAAAACCATAAATGGTTACTATAAACGAGCATTATCATACCCCTTTTGTTCTTTCCTCGGGTGAATTCCTTAGCTTTTTCAACTTCAGCAGCTGCCTTTTTAAGAAGCACCTTCTCCTTTTTCTCTAACATTTCAAGGGTCTATATATTGCAGAGAATTAACAGCTAAGTTAATAATAATAATAATAATAAAGTATATTTTTACATGTACAATTAAAAAAAAAATCTAACCAACACATAAACCTGAATTTTATTTTTATTTTTTCAGTTTCCAAGGATAAACCAAAATAAGAAAGTCGAAAATAAAAACCATGTCGACAATAATAACTACTTTCGAAACACACAATTTTAATTCTAAATATAAATATAAAAAAAATCTAATAAACCACGGACAAGAAAAAGAACATAAAATTAAAAAAAAAATACCTCGTTTAATTTGTCTAACGTAGTTAGAGCATTGGCTTCCTGCTTAGGTTTTCCAAATAAGCGGTTAAACATGACGATTGTTTTCGTTTAAAGCTCTGCCGGCCTGCTTTCCTCGCGATCTTCCATATGGAAACACAAAATTCAACGTTGTAATATCAAATCAAGCCCCAATTCCAAGAATCAAGACAGATAGATCTACTTAAATCGAATTAAATTCAATTCAATAAAAGACGATGATTGAAAATTACCTGTGAAAATTGACTCTATGGAGATCGAATTCAGAGATTGGGGATGGAGAAGATTACAAAAGGGGAGGGGGAAGAGAGAAGGCTAGGTTTTGTTCGGGCGAGGGGAGGGGATTTTTATTTTTCCAGAAGCGTGTTGCTCGTTCTTGTGTTGGAGAGGGCAAAGGAAGCTGCAAATCATTTTCTTTGGGTCGCACTTAATTCCTTTTTTCTTAAGTGGTCCCACTTTTATCTCTCACTATGAAAGCTAGATTTAATTGACCTCTCTCTCTCTCTCTCTCTCTCTCTCTCTCTCTATTACTTAACAATTGAGCAATGGTAAAGATGCTTGGATCGATACCTGGATCAATTTTTACTGTTTTTTTATTATTAAATGATGTAGCAGTTTATAATTAGTTTTTCACAATATTAGTTATTTCATTAATTTGTTGTCCGTGCTAGTTGCCGTTTGAGTAAATTACGAAAAAATGATTTTAATTAGATTGCTTATATTATATCATAGATCTACTAAAATATATTACATCAAAAATTAAAAAATATATATTAATTTTCTAATTAAAATTTATATTTAATTAATTTTTTAATATTTTTTTTATGAATTTTATGCTTAAAAAGCTTGATTTGCTTTCTTTTATGCATTGATTCTTAAATAAAAACTTCTAATAATTTAAATAAAAAATTTAATCTAAAATTTAAAAAATATCTTAATATTTTTTATATAATATTATACCAAAAATAAAGCAAAAATTAATGTAAAACCTTGTATAAAAATTAACAAATAATTTCTTACTTAATGTTGATGATAAGATTTTTTTGAAAGTATGTGCATTTGATTCATACATATTTATTTACAAAATAACCAATAATATCAATATAAAAAATTGTATACAAATCATTAGATGATTCTTCTAAAATATTATTTTAATTATTTTATTTGAAACAAAATAATTTATATATTACAACATAATAGTAATAACCAATGATTGGTACTATGTATATAAATATATAGTTAATTTCTATACATATATACATATATATATATATATATATATATATATATATATATATATATATATATATATATATATATATATATATGAAGACACATGCACATCATAACTATACTTAGTTTGTTCAGAATATACAACATAAAATGAAAAATATTTAAAACAAACGCTTCATTCATTCATAAGGAATATATTAAATAAATTTGAAGTTAATATATTAAAATAAAAACTACTACAAAATCAATTTCAATAAATTTTGATTATATAAATAAGGTGAAAAAGAAAAAAAAAACATGAATTCTACTTTTCAATTGATTATTTTAAAATTTATTTTAAAAAAAAACATGAGACAAATTATCTAAGATGCACTTTTACGCTCTTAATAAACACACACACACACAATTATGTTACTCTTAATTAAAAATCATAAGAATCCATAATATAAATTATATTAATATGTTATAATAAAATCATATTCTAAAATTTTATTTCAAAATCCATACTCGGAGAAAAAAATAAATCATATTTGTTGATAAATAAATAAAATATATAAAAAATTAATTAGATGAGGATTTTATAAAAAATGATAAATTGAAAAAAAAATTAAACAATAAGAGTAATATAATTTGACATAGATGTTTATACTAAAATATAAAAATATATCATATATATTTCATCATCGTTTGATTGTGTGGAAACCCCAATTAAATAATGATTAATTTTTTATTATTTTAACAAACAAATTCAATAATAATAAAATAAATTGTTGAAAAAACAAAAGGCAAAAAAAAAAAAAAACCAAGCTAGACACACAAAAGAAGGCATGTGCTTGGCTTTCCCATTTTATTATTATTATTATTATTTTGAACAAAAAACAAATGGATGACACATCACTCGAACTATGTAGCTCTAGCAACGCATCATCTATCCTGTGATTTTCGATGAACTTGAGTTCGTCAAAAACATTGTCGATCCCCGTGTGATATTGATTATGTGTTAGCCTTGATGTGATTGTGTGAAAAATAGTTGTTAACATAATTTTTCATAAACAATAACGTGATTTTTTTAAAATAAAAATCGATTAGATTAAGAAGAGAGTCATTTAGTTTGTAACACTCCAGACCTAGGACCTAAGAAGTTGAGAATATTATTGTTGTTAACTCACATTCGAAGTGCAATGAATGTAAGCTAACAAAGCACTATGATCTTTCTATATCCTATTTTAGTGACCTTACACTACGCAAGTCCTTTAGTAATGATTAGGTCCTATATTTTAACTAAAAAGTCGTTATAAATTTTTCACGTTTAATTGATTTGTTCACATTTTTAAATTATATTGTTGAATTTGTGGTTATTTATTAATTTCAATCATTCCTTGATTAACTATTGCAATTCATTCGGATATAATTTCTTATTATCAATATTATTATATTGCTTATTTTCCTTCCTATTTATTATTCTTTTTTATTTAACGAGTGGTTAAGTGATTTTCTTAAATACTTGAGGATGCTAACATGCAATGGACAATTTAAAATAATTACACTATTACCATTACACTATCATTTTACTATTAATGGCTCGTTTATATACATTCACCATTTATATACAAGATCGGTTTTATGCCAACTACTACAAAATTGACTTATTTACTATTATGTCATTTCTTGATCCTACCCTTCTATTTACTAGTTCATAACTTTAACTATTACATAAAACAATACGATCATTGCAATAAAGTAAACTAAAATACCCGAGTACAACAAGAGTTATCGTGTGTATCAAGTCCATATGCCAACCACATCCTACATATACGCGATGGGTCAATCCTTCGGTAGTTAGTTCAAACGTCATGAAAATCATCTTTACCTGCGCGAGCTACATCACAATCAGTAAGTTAACCAATGCATATATATGCATGTATAAAATGCGACATATGTGTAATAAATCATTTTCCTCATGTCATTAAACATTTTATAAAACAGTCTGAAAATATTTTTTCTGTCTTTAGACATGTTCTATTTAGGTATTTTAGGATTTCCATAGTATATGTTCGGTGAACCGAACCCGTCTACGGACGTGCTTTGTCGAGTCTCTAAAAGTGCAGGTTTGCACTTATCCGGTCTTGAACCATTTCCATTTATGGAAAACCCATTGTGTTTAACAGGGCACTTGCCCAATCTCAAGACATAGGCATCGATAAATTCAAGAGCACAATAGTTTCCGTAGGTTTAGAGTCAAGACAATGACTCTCTCCTTTTTTTCCCTCTTTAAATTTTAACAGCATAGAAATAAATTGTAAACTTTTTGTCATAAAAGATAACTAAATAGAATGCTGTTTCAAGTTCAAGCATTATGTATAGGCTGGAATTTGATTCAGGAAAAAATAAAATGAAGTACCTGTACTAATATGTCAATGACAGGAAGAGTTGAAAGCAGACCTCTATCATTAACATTTCCAACAATCAGATCTAGGAGTTTGGCAACACCGGAAGCATGCATTCATAGAAATTCAATCCCACCCAAAACTGTGTAATCCTCAAAGATATTTACAGCAACCTGCAATTATATTCAAGTCAACAAAATATCATAAACCAAGTCTAGCAGCCGTAGGTTGGATGATGACAAAACTAGATGCAGAACAAGAGAGCTACACTTAACACAACAAGACCAACGCATAGTAACTTTTGTTGAGCCTTAAATTCGGGAATGATATACTGGATATTACAGTGAACCTAACTTGCAAGTGATCAAAACTTCTTTCCATGATTTCCACGAGACATGGGAAGTACGCTAGTAGTCGAGGCTCCGTTGCAGGAGCATGGGAAAGTGTTGCTTCCCATAACTGCAGATTATCCCAGTTAAATTTGCTATAATCCATTGACTATTAAAAGTAGCATAGAGAAACCACACACACACACAATACAGAACATCAAAGTAGGCATCGTAAGATAACCAGCATGCCGTCCTCTAAAAGATTGAGTATATCTGGGCTATTTATATCAATTCCACTTTGCAGAATAGGCAATAGCACATTGTAGCAAGTAGGTGACTGATAGCCAAGTTCAACCACAAATTCCGCAAAGCAATAAGAATCTGAATCTGTAGAAGACTCTCACCCGAAGCCTCCTCCCAAACCTTTTCAAACAACATAAAGAAAAACAACGACGTCAAAAAGGCCAAACCATAGTAAGTGTGAAATGTGCATGGTATGATTATTTTCAAGGATCACCAGATAACTAGCAAAACTCTCAATTCCACATAATTGAACCCAATTTCTTCGGAGCATAACAGCTCAGAAACTCAGAAAGAGTTCGGTCAGTGGAACTCCTTTCATTCAACTAAAAATAATGCGAACAGGCATAGATAAAATGAATTTCTTTTTGGTATGTAACTCTAACGTGTTTAAGCATTAGAATAACGAAAGATATAATGGCTTGTCCAATACCTTCTGGAAAAATTGCACCAACTTGTTTGCAAATGGAATGATCTCATGGACATGTCCAATAAGAACAGAGATCAAATTCAAAACCTGAACCTGAAATTACATGAAAGAAGGAGAAAAGGTACTAAGAGCAGACTAAAGAAGTAGAATAACATCTCAGTTGAATTCATAAATAATTCAGCTAATCATGCTTTAGCTACCTAGCCTGCAGGTTAGAAATGTGTGGTTCACGAACTTTAAATATTTAAAGAATGTGGAGTTCCAGAAAGAAGCAGAAAGATGTTCTTGAAGAAATATATTTGCAACATCAATGACCCACAATGATATTTGGACACTTTCAGAATCAGTGATTTTTTAACATGCATCCGCACATGCATTATTCAAAATTTTGAAATTAAGTTAAGTTTACTGTAAAAGAATAATTATATTAGATTCATTTAACTAACTTTTATGTAGATTTAACATAGATTCGTGGGTTTTTAATCAAGCAAATAAGAGACATTATATTTAAAAATATATATATTTAAACTGTTGAACTAGCTATGAACAACATGAAAAAAAAATTGCATTTAAGTATTGGATTTAAAAATATAACCACTTGAATAATGCATATTTTTACAGAATATTTTCTAGCTAGTTCAATATAAAAACATTTTTTAAAATAAATATTTAAGAAGAAGCAACAGTGAAGATGAATGCATCCTTTTTTTTTTTTTCTTTTTTTCCTGAAAAAAAAGTCCGGAAAGTACTAACAATTTTTTATCATAAGCTTCTTGGCTGGTATAATTCATTAGAAAGTTAGGGGGAAAAAAACTCTGCAATCAAATAATTTGGTAGAGATTGTGTTATGTAAATAGTTAAGATAGCGAATGAATAGAAGTTCTATGAATCTATGAATGCTTTAGATTAAAGGATTCCTATTCTATCACATTATCAAAAGGAAGATAAAGTTCTATAAATCCTCTTGTCCATAGGAGTCAAAGGTGACATGGAGAAAAATCAAAGGTCCAACGTAATTACTAAATGAATTAATTTTGATGTAAATTTATTATTTTTTAGTTTTGATTTTTTTATATTTATGAGCTCATTTTTCACTCATTTTTTTAGCTTTGATGATCAAAATATAGTGCCAATAAGGTCCTATATAGGATAGAGACAATTTAGGAAGTCTGCTTTATGTTATTTATGGTTTTACATAAATAGGCATGTAATGAAATCAACAAAAAGCATATTAAAAAAATAAAATTGTTGAGAACAGGGGTATAGAATCTTTCTATATATAGCTTATGATTGGCCATCACATCCCCATAATTCATCCTAAATCAACGATAATAAATGCTTGACACCCCTTTTTTTCACAACGGAAGATACAATATAATTTGGACTGGCTAGAAGAGAAGAGGCAATATGTTACAGTCCTTGAGGAGATGAAGGAGGTTAACAAGAAAGGCAAGGAAGGGCATCCAAGCATGCAATGGTATCCAGGTGAACCAGAAGCACCAACTTACCTTTGAGTCAAATTCCTGAACCTCCTCAACCAACTTAAAGCACGAATCAAAGCAGATTGGAAGAAGATCTAGAAATTCTTGCTCTGAGAAGTTTGCATCCTCAATATGCAAACACAAAGACCGACAAGCTGCCAGCTAGAGCAAGGAAGTACTAACTTCAGTAGTTGAAATGGGAAATGCAAAGAACAATCAAACGATCAAAAACGAGGAAGAGAAAGGAGACGTGAAAGCACATAACAGAAGTTATTTCAAGCATCATAACCTGACAGACAGGTCTTTGTCTTCTAGCAATCTAATCAATCCACAATACACTGGTCTCTTTTTGTCCGCTTTAATCTGTGGAGAAACAACTATGTGCAACCACAGTAGAAATTATGGAAGGTCTTTGGACAGAAAAGCGAGGATAATTGTCTAATGTGTCAATACATGGGACCATCCTCAGCCTATTTTATTCCAAAGCACAGGAGCAGTATTCTAGAATGAATAAGGAGTATGCATAGAGCCACAAAAATATGAAGACTTCCAGAGATCGTTACGCTACAAATCACCATGCTGAGAAGAAACAGGACAAAATGCATGCATGCTTCAGTCTCGACAATGAGGTATAACAATTACATTTTCTTTCTTGAAGAACAAAAAGAAAAAGTTACAAACACTTAAAAGAGTTCTCTACCATGAAGCTTAGAAAATGACATTACCTCAGAAACCCATTGTCCTAGTATCAGTGCAACTTTTCGATGGATGATACACATATTTGGATGATCATTTGACAGTTCAAGGGATAAAGCACCATTAAACCTGCAATGAATGGTTTCAGAGAGAATTAGATAAGGATGGATCATCGTGTCGCCCGTTAAAACAAATACTAGGTAAATAAAATTTGGTCAGGAAACAACAACCTAATCAACAAATACATTCCAGAAACTTCAATTCCAAAACTTCAAAAAATACATGCTGATAGTCATCAAATAACAACCTACTCATTTTCGTTAGACATCATGTTTCTTAAACGACTATACATCTGATCCTCTGCATATTTTTAGAAGCAATTTTTCATGTATCTGAAGACATTATCAGATCTGGAGATCTATCCATCTACTGACCCCCTAAACCACGCATATTAAATTTATAAGTAGCTACCAGAGGCATGCAATTACTTAAACCCAAATGACAATCCCTTTGCATTCACAAAATTATGAAGCTAGCAAAGAATTAAGAAAATGTTTGGCACCAACAAAACAATTATTGTTGCAAAATAATATCTTTTAATGTGACTGCAATTAATGATAACTAATTCATACAACATACAAATTGATTAGATAACAGCAGTAGCATAGAGGAGAATTCTTATACCAATCTTTGAAGCTCAGGTAGTTAGAAAGCTCATAGTAACCATAGGCAGCAGCACCATAAGCAGCATCTTTAAGAAGTAACCGTGGAGTGATTTCAGGAACTGATGTTGGGCAAGCATTCATTGCCTCTTAAAGGATGGACACCACAACAGGGCCCAACAGCTACAAGTAACAATCAAAACAATATAAGTTCACATCTGTCAGTAGAGTGCTTTGCAGATTTTAAACCTTAATCATTACAAAGTTGAATTCCACCTACTTGGCTATGATTTTCAAACAATACAATGTATAAAGCTTCAGCACAAGGCCTCAGTTTTTCAGTCCACTGAATCATATCCTGCTCGTGATGAAAAGATTCTGGGTTTTGGTACAACTCCTCCAGATCACTAGCTGTTAGAACAAAATACCTGGCAAAATATCAATCGCATATAATTATCTGAAATGCAGATAATCACAACAAGGGGATGCAGAATACTGAAAAAATATGCATAAAGCATTTAGAGACATAATAGTTCTTTACTCGAGCTATACTGCGACTGTGGATTCGGACAAAACTTTATAAAATTTTATTTTAAAAAATAATTTTAATTTGATGGTATGTATTACATTATTGGTTACTAAAATATATTAAATAGAAGGTAAAAAATATTATTTTTTTAAAAAAATTCTATGTTTAACAAAATATTTATTATGTTTTTTATAAATTTTCTGCTAAAAAGAACACAATTTATTCTTCTATATTCAAATTCTTAACTAATAACTTGAAATAAAAATTCATGGACTCTTAAGTACTAAAAACTTCTCTTATAATTTTTTTTCAAAAAAAAATCTAAGACAAATTATTTAAAAAATACTTTTAATCTTATTTTATATAAAAAAAAAAAAAATTGATATGCATCTTATCATTTAAGAATAAAAAAATTCATCATATAAATTCTATTAAATTTTTTTAAAAGCGTAAATAACAATATTCTAAAAAATTATTAAAAAATTCATATATAGATTTCTTTCTCCTCCCTCATCGCTCTTCGTTTCTCTCTCCTCTTAGCAATTAGTAACCAGATTATAATATAAATAAAGTTGCGCATCAAAATAAAAATTATTAAAAAGAATGAGGGATCAAAAAACAACATAGCAAAACTTTACGTATATAATGTCTAAAAAAAATGCCAAAATTAGTAGTTGAGGGTAAACAAGTAATGTAGGCGGAATAAATGTGTAAAAAACTTAAAGTACCAAAAATGTTGTGAGTGTGTGAATAGTCTAAAAATAATAAATAAATAAAAACCCATATATTTCTTTTAGGGTTCTTTGTAATTTGTTTTTTTTTTTTTTTTTGGCTAAAATATATCGAGAACTCTTAAGATTGAAAAAAAAATTAATTACATCATACAAATTAAGGATTATTTTCTTTTACTTATCCGCTAAATAAGTCAAAGAAAATAATCCGTAATTTGTATAGAATCGATCTAGCCCAACTCTTTTTATTCCCTTTTTTTTTTAATTGGCTGGAATCGGTTCAACCGAGTCACACACGTATTAGGCTTAGCCCAACCCAAAAACACAAACAAAACTCTTTCTTTTTCTTCTCGGATCAAACTCAATCCTTTCTCTCTTTTTTACTCTTCCTCGTCCGATTGTTCTCTCTCTATCTCTCTCTTTTTTTTATTTCTTCTTCCTTCCTTCTTCTTTCTCTCTCTACCTTCCACTCGGTTCGTCCCTCTTTCTCTTCTTCTTCCCTTTTTTTTTTTTTTGTCTTTCTTCTTCTTATTCCTCTCATCTCTTTCTTTTTCTCTCTCAATTTTTCTCTTCTTCTTCCCGATCCATGGAAGAAACAAACTAGAGATTTATGGTTCGTTCTTTCCTCCTTTCTCTTTCAATCCTTCTTTCCCTCTCACCCTATTAATCTACCTCTTCTAATTAGATCAAAATCCCAAATTGAAAATTTTTCCCAATTTGACCGAACCATAGGTTTTTTATTTTTCAATTTTTCCTTTCAAATGGTCTTAATTGGCTTGATTTCTCTTGAATCAAGCCAATTCAAACCTAAATGAGTCATTATTTTCAAAAACCCCTAATTTTTATTGCTATTGAAGATCTCGTAAATCCTAGGTTTCAATCTAGTCTAATTCGGTTCAATTCATAGTTTAAACATTGAATTAAAACTCCAATTAAGTTCCATTAGCCTTCCTTTCTATTATTTAACCTTAATTTCAATCCACAACAAAAATCTTCAAATTCCAAAACCCTAATTGTCAAGAACTTTAATTTAATTTCCAAATTCCCCTCTATTTAGTTAAACAATTACAAATGTATGTGTGTGTGTGTGAGTGTGGAGGGGGAAATTCGGGTTGATGATGATGATGGAGAGATGTTGTCACTTCAACAATTAGGTAAAAATTCCTCTCTCTTTCTTTTTTTTCCTATTTTTTATTTGATTTTAATTTTCAAAGCAAATTCCTCTTTTTTTTTTGTTTCTTACTTGCCTTTTTTTTTTATGAATTAAATTGATTCAAACTAATCCTCTTTCTTTATGTTTGCCATCTGCTACTTCTTATTGTGATTGTTTTGGTTCCCCACTATTTGATGGTGCGAGATTTTATTACGGGATATAGAGTTGGGGGTTTTGATTGATAGGTTAGTGATTTTTAAGAAAAAATAACGGATGGCGACTAGAGAAGGAGTAGAAGATTACAAGAGAAGGTTAAAAAGGCAGAGAGTAAAAGTAGCGAGTGGCAACATTGTAATTAGAAAAGCAAATGAGAGTACAAAAAAAAAAAAACACTATTGTATGAATAAGGTCGTCCATAGTGTTTTGTGTGGGGGTGAACGAGTGCATGAACGACTTCACCCTCACATCTTTTAGAGTCTTTTGTAATGTAATATTTGTTCTCATTACCAAACCATTCGAAACCCATGAAGTAAATAGGAATTCCTCGAGAGGGAAAAGAGGAGGCAATGGTTGACTTGAGATGTGATTAACATAATCAAATTTGGCTCATATCCCACACGGAGAAAGAAACACACGTTGATGAATATTATAATACCTTAATATTAAAACTTCATTTTTATCTCATTAGGCTACATTATGCCTTAATATTACTTAATTACTTTTTTTAAGTTTCTAACTTCCATTACACATTTAATTCTACCCAATCATGTCCCATTTCATGTTCTAGCTTAGTTAGGTGTTATTTAGTTTATTATGTGCTTTATTTTTAGTTTGGGCCTTATTAGGCCAAATCTTCAAATTTCATTAAATCAATTAACCTTTAAATTTTTATGAATGTTTTCATTCTAACTTGGATAAATACATTGTTTCAAGCTTAATTTAACCAAATTTAGGTATTAAAATTCAATTGAATCTAAAACCCTAAAACTTACCCTTTAGGCCGAATGTCCCTCTAAATAAATTTCTAATATTTTCTTCTCATTTCAACCTAGAATTTTAACACCAACTAACTCAAATACATATTATTCATGAGAATCAATTTAATTGATATTTAGGGCACAAATTCATACCTAAACTCGAATTGGCCCTTAATGGGCCAAAATTGGGCCTATGTCCATATAATTAATTTTCTTCAATTTTCATCAAATTTTGTATTCCTACCTATCAAAAAATGCTTATTCAAGTGTAACTCAACCACCAAACCACAAATTAAATTCTTGGAACTTTACATCCTAAAATTCACTAATTTGTAACCCGCACAAATAAGTGAATTTTTCTTCAATTAAAGCGAGGTTTTTCATCCTTAAATACTAATTTATGCCTAACTAAGTCAGAATTAAGTGTCAAAACATCAATTACATGAAAGCAATAAAAACCTCCAAATTTAAGATTTGGGCCGAATAGGGTACCTTAAACAATCCTAGGAATTTTTTAGTTTTAAACTTAAATTTTAAGCTCAATTAACCTATTTGCATCCCAATTGCATGTATTACAAGCCTAAAATCATTTTCTTCAATTTTGGTTTATCAAGAACCCTAACCTAATTTTGCTTCAATTAAGCAATTAAATCAAAATCAAGTAATTAAACATAAAATTGACATGAAATTGAGCATGCTTGTGGTGTAGGTATAGTTACTTAAATATGCTTCAATTCAACCTTGGAAAGCTAGGTTGTTTGAAATTTTTCCTTCTCCTTCTTTGCTTCTACGGACAAGAAAAAGAACATAAAATTAAAAAAAAAAAATACCTCCTTCAATTTGTCTAACGTAGTTAGAGCATTGGTTTCCTGCTTAGGTTTTCCAAATAATTGGTTAAACATGACGGATTGTTTTTGTTTAAAGCTCGTCTGCATGCTTTCCTCGCAATCTTCTACATAAAAGCATAAAATTCAACGTTGTAATTTCAAATCAAGCCCTAATTTCAAGAATCAAGACGGATAGATGTACTTAAATTGAATTAAATTCAATTTAATAAAAAATGATGAAAGAAAATGACTCGTGAAAATTGACTCTAAGTAGATCGAATTCGGAGATTAGGGCTTTTGATCATAGAGAAGATTACAAAAGGGGAGAGAGACGAGAGAGAGGGGTAGGTTTTTTTTTTATTGGGATTTTTATTTTTATTTTTATTTTTATTTTTTTCCTTAAGCTTATTGTTTTCATTCTTGTGTTAGAGAGGGCAACGAAGGTTGGTTTGCCTTTACATCACAACGTTGCAAATCATTTTCTTTTCACATGGCTCACACTTAATTCGTTTTTTCTTAAGTGCTCCCACTTTTATCACTCACTAGGAAAGTTAGATTCATTGACCTCTCATATATATTATTTAACAATTGAGCAATGGTAAAGATACTTGAATCCATACTTGGATCAATTATTATTATTTTATTATTATTAAATGATGTATGTTATAAAAGAAATGATAACAATAGTACAATTGATGAGAAAGATAATGAAAAAATAAATTTACTATAAGATAAAGTAAATACAAGAGATAACAACTCCAAATAATCTTTCAATCTCTACAAAATACTTATATATAAATTAATGATCAATCAAGTCCGTTTATAAGCTTTAAGAGTAAGATGTGAAGTTCAAAGGATTATATACCATTAAAAGATGCATAAATAATTGAATAAATTGCATCACCCTTTCAATTTGTCATATTAAAT